CGGTAGTCGTGAGCGGTAGTCGTGAGCGGTAGTCGTGAGCGGTAGTCGTGAGCGGGTAGTCGTGAGCGGTAGTCGTGAGCGGTAGTCGTGAGCGGTAGTCGTGAGGCGGTAGTCGTGAGCGGTGTCGTGAGCGGTAGTCGTGGAGCGGTAGTCGTGAGGGCGGGGTAGGTTCGGTGAGCGGTAGTCGTGAGCGGTAGTCGTGAGCGTAGTCGTGAGCGGTAGTCGTGAGCTGTAGTCGTGGGTAGTCGTGAGCGGTAGTGTGGAGCGGTAGTCGTGAGCGGTAGTCGTGAGCGGTAGTCGTGAGCGTAGTCGTGAGCGGGTAGTCGTGAGCGGTAGTCGTGAGGCGTAGTCGTGAGCGGTAGTCGTGAGGGTAGTCGTGAGGGTAGTCGTGAGAGGCGGTAGTCGTGAGCGTAGTCGTGAGCGGTAGTCGTGAGCGGTAGTCGTGAGCGTAGTCGTGGAGCGGTAGTCGTGAGCGGTAGTCGTGAGGGGGGCGGTGAGTCGTGAGGCGGTCAGTCGTGAGCGGTGAGTAGCGTGAGCGGTAGTACGTGAGCGGTAGTCGTGAGCGGTAGTCGTGAGGCGGTTAGTCGTGAGCGGTAATAGTCGGTGGGGAGCGGTAGTCGTGAGCGGTTTGCGGTGAGGCGGTATCGTGAGCGGGTATCGTGAGGGCGGTAGTCGTGAAGCGAGGTAGTCGTGAGGCGGTAGTCGGAGCGGTAGTCGTGAAGCGGTAGTCGTGAGGCGGTAGTCGTGAGCGGTAGTCGTGAGGGGCGGTAGTCGTGAGCGCGGTAGTCGTGAGCGTAGTCGTGAGCGGTAAGTCGTGAGCGGTAGTCGTGAGCGGTAGTCGTGAGCGGTAGTCGTGACGCGTGGTAGTCGTGAGCGGTAGTCGTGAGAGCGGTAGTCGTGAGGCGGTAGTCGTGAGCGGTAGTCGTGAGGCGGTAGGCGTGAGCGGTAGGCGTGAGCGGTAGGCGGTGAGCGGTAGGCGTGAGCGTAGGCGTGAGCGGTTAGTGATGAGTCGGGGTAGGCGTGAGCGGTAGGCGTGAGCGGTAGGCGTGAGCGGTAACTGTGCGAGGGAAATATGAGCGTGATTAGTGAGAGTGATAATTGGGCATGAGCGATTAGCCAGAGCAGTGGAAAGGAGAGGTGGAAAAGGGAGGAGAGCGTGATCGGTGGGCTTCATCATCCCAAGCCCCTGGAGCTCGTACTTGAGAGGTACAGCTACCAAAATTACGTAACTAGCGTCGTACATTCAAAAATGTTACTAAAATCGTTGGACAAATTGTTAGCTGGAATATGATAACTCATGGTAGATGCCCAGCAGGACGGAAGTGTGTACAGAGAGCGCGGTTTCCAAACGAAATCCGGGCTGCGCTGCGTGCTTCATAATACCGGAGCATTTGCTTTAAGAACATTCGCGCAGACCCGCCCAGTTAAATCGCGTTGGATCGCTACTCTAATTTACGGTAAAATCTTCCTGTACGAGCAACCACTGCGGCCACCTATTATCGGATGCTGGACATTAGCATACGGCTTTGACCACAATCGTTAGTAACAGATTGACTCGATTTTCTGCACGCTGCCGCATCAAACCACAATGATCCGATTGTGATGATCGGTATGGTGGTCATTAGTGTTTGGCAACGTTTACGGTCTGTTGTGAACTCGTTGAGTCTAATGGCAATATAACAGGGTGTTTGTTCGTTTTGCTTGTGTAGGATGAAGGACCATCCAGGCATGCTTCATCGAAAGTAAATCTAGTATTGTCCCAGTTGAAAATGCGCCGAACATAATAATAGAAATGCTGTAATTGATCAATGATAATACGATAATAATGATATACTCGTAATGATAACAATGCTAATAATGATAACAGAGAACAAGAGGAATAGACAAACTTCATGTCATTGCGGTGGAAGTGTACTCGTTGCGTTATTTTATACAGAGATAATTATTAAAATCATCTGTTGTTACCTAACAAAGCTTAACACTCCTCCCTTCGAGATAAACAACACTGGTTGTTAATGAATTGCGAGATCAACAATGCATCTCAAACAAGAAATGTAAACAGTAGTAATGAGTAATGTCTCTCCACCTTCCATACCTTATTCGTCAAAAGATACTCGTATGTGAGAGATTGTAAAAATTTTCCTTCAGTTATTTACAAAAACTCTTCCTCGCAATGTCCAGTTTTAGAAATAAGATAAAATGAAATTAATAATAAAGGGAGAACAAACGTTTGATACTTAATAGTTAGTTAAAATGTATTTAATTTAAATAGCGCCCTGCAGTTGAGTGGTGGTATGAAAGGTGTCGAGGAAGGTCGAGACGTGGGGCAGAACAGTGGAATGTAGTGCAGTCGTATATAATATTAGGCAGTATGTGTGATGATGATGATAGTAATAATGATTATTATTACGAAAATATTACATTTCATAAGTCACTTCCACTCAATTGTACTCAAATGCAGCAAAATATCACCAGATCGTTCTATAATAGCCCAAATAGCTAAAAGCGACCGCTTGAAAAAGTGTGAAACTGTGTCTAGCCGTTTAGCTAGGTGACTACTGACAGGGAATATTGACACGTATGTTACGGAAAAAAATCAATCGGCGCAAAGAAGTGATAGCCGTTAAAGAAAGTTTCGACTTGATTTTTAGAGCTGATTTCATTGTATATTAATATTAATGTTAACAAAACTATGTACAACATCTAAAAGAAACAGAAGTGGGATATTTTACAGGAAGTCCACTTTTTGCATTGGTTTTTGCATGGCCAAAGATACAAGGTAGAGTTGTGCCGGTGCCTTGTTGCCAGTGAAAGCTGAGCTATGACGGGTCATCATAAGGTGGAAGTGACTGCAACAGAGACGGAATTGGTGAAGTATGAAAAGTACGAGCAAAAAGAATTATAACGCTAAAAAATAGAGAGGTGGCTTCAGCAGCAGAAGTGGCGATGGTGATAGTGCATGTAATGGAGAAGACGGTGGAGGTAAAGGCAGAGGCGGTAATGTTGATCGTGGAGGTAGAGACGGCCGTGGCGAAGCAGATGACTGTGGCGGTAATGTTGGCTGCGACAACAACATGACAACATTAATGGCACTGGCAATGACAGACGGCCAGAGCGGAACAGACGAAGGTGGCAGCCGAGGAAGTAGTCGCGAGGACGGTGTTGTCCCGGTGATTGTGTCGGTGGTAGTGACAGTGGCGGTGGCGGTGGCGGGCGCTGTGACCAACGGCGTTGGCAACAGGGCCGGAGCCGCACAGAAGCCAGCGCCGGAGAGAGGCTCAGAGCGATGCCAACTCGAGAGGGACGGAAGGTCGGAAGGCGGGAGGTAGCGAGTTGCGCTCGAGTTGTGCTCTGAGTTAGTGGAGTCGCGCGCCTTGTTTATCCACTTGCCGCGAGTTATCGTCTCCGTCTCCTCCTCCCACGCGCGCTCCTCTAGCAGCGTCTTCCTCCCCCGCGCGGCGCCACCGCTCGGCAGATTTCCGATTTTAACACCGACGCTCCACTTCGCCGGGCAACTTCGCCGTCGCCCACGACGAGGGCGGGAGAGGGCTGAGCAAGTTTTGAAGCGCCGTCCAGGACGTCCGTCCTCAGCGCCCCCGCCCTGCCCCGGGGCCGGGGACGCCATCTCGTAATCACAACAACGTCGCCCACTGTTGTGGCCTACTTGGCCGAAACTTGCGTGGCGGCGGGGAAGCGTGGAAGTTGGCCCGGGCGAGCGGGGCGGCGGCGGAGGAGGTGGTGGAAGTGGGGAAAGCTGCCCGCACTGACATCACGGCCGCGCCCTCCCCCCGGCGTTACCCTGTCTGCGGCAGCGGTGAGGCGAGGCATGGCGTGGCGTGGCGGTGACGTTTGCGCGAGACGGGGAAGGAGGATAGAGAGTCGTCAAGGGCAGAAGGAAGACAAATTCGTGATGAGAACACAATATAGGCAGGGAAGTTTTTTTTCTTAATGTAAGTACATATCAGTCGAGAAATACAGTACAGTAACCGTCAAGTGTTGGAAAAGATGTGTCGTGCAATGCGAAAGTGAAAATCGTTTGAATACGATGATGGTAAAACGTAAGAAGACACGAATTGGTCATTTGTAAAGGCGAGATTCTTTAATGAAGGAGAATCTGGAATGCAAGAGGAGGATCTTGAATGAGAAGGAGTACGATGCTTTTTTGTGGATTATCTTCTGGTAGGCGTTGTATGCTGGCATGAATAGAAAAAACTAGAAGGGGATAGAGATGAGGAAGAAGATCGCGCGCGGTTTTACATTCTGTTTGATATAGTTCTGCTCAGGCATTCGAGTGTTTCTAATAGGAAAAAACAGGGAAAATAACCGAACAGAACAGCCGGCTGCGAAAGTTCTCCAAACTGCGGGTGAATTCGACATAGGAAGGCGAATGGAGGATAACGAACTATTCTGTACTTCACCAAAAGCTGCCTTTGGAAATAACAATATATAAATGTAAATATGTTATGAGACCCTTTTATCATATCAATCATGAAGTCTCGTAGAGGATTCAAATGTAATCGTAAGATATATTTCTGATTCATTTTAAAATTCATTTGTAATCTTGAAATTCATAAATATATACTCACAAAGACTATGTAAGAGTGTTCCTTTTCCATCAGACCCTTACTCCCTGATTTTTACTGTCGCATTTGTAAGAAACCCTTTCCCCCAACTGCGTACGTATTTTCTTTGAATTACTTCCTATTTATTGAATTGTATTACATTTCTGAAAGTGCGAGTCCAATGGCCTGGGCATCGCCGTTGGTAAGTCATGTACCTATGTATGTACTTATTTATGTATTTATTCTCTCCTTGGCCAAATAAAAAGGCACTCATAAAAATCAATATTATCTATTCACTTTCTTCATTCACTGCTATGGTGCAGTCGCGATCGCTATCCTTAAGAGGCGGAGATGATTACAATTACATAGTGAATTGATATTATATTAGGCTGCTTTATGTCAATTTTCACCTTTATGCAGGTACGAGAGTTTGCTGAATCACACAGGCCATGAACTGTGATACACACGTGCATTGAACTTAGTGGCTCCCGACCTGAAAGCGCCTTGTGGCAGGGCCTCACCTGGTAGGGCTGGAGGCGCGCGTAGTCCCGGAACGCCAGGTCCCGGTCCACGAGGAACTCCAGCGGCTGCAGGTGCGTCGCCAGCCCCACGTGGTCCACCAGCGCCGTGAACGACTGCAACACGCGCGCGCGCGCCGCTCTCACCCTCCGCTCCTCGCCGCGCCCCCACCGCACCACGCACGTGGGCGGCGAGAGCCGGGCCCTCGGCACACGTATTGAAGGCTATCGAATCCATCATTACCCGCCGACTTTTAACGAAATGTTCGCCTACGTAAATGAATAGAGTTACTCCCGTATTGTACTTTAGAGAGCGGCGTTTCCTTCTTTCCAATACGTGAACGATGTTCACGTAAAAGGGAGGACACTCGATAAGCACCAAAAAATTAACACGTTTCTTTTTATAAAGAAATATTTTGACTAATCATGATATGAAGATTATGAAGACAGGAGTGGCCCTGTTTCGCGTAATGTGCACTTGCCCACTAGCGTACTCCACGTGTAATTGTTTAGATTTTTGTAGTGGTCATAGTTGTTTTCAAACGGTAACACAACTTATTAAATATCAAGTATACTTTACTTCTGGAGTAGGTGAAATAAGTGGCCTATACGTTGGCACTGTACGAGTAACAACAGAAGCTGATTTATTAACCTACCCTCACGATCCACTTTCATTCAAAAGAGTAACTAATCTGAGACTGATTATCTTGGAGTCGCTAGCCTTCAATAGGCATCGTTCTTAACATTCACAGACTATCAAAGATGTCCGTATGTGCAAACGTCAACTCAGTTCTAAAGCCATTCAAAAGTTTATAAATAATTTTAAAGCAAATGATTAAAAACAAGTGATTTATTAGATTGGTACACACAGAGTAACTTTCGAGTTAAGCGATACAAAATTACTCTTACAACCAATACCACTTTTACAATAATAATAATAATAATAATAATTTAAAAATTACGACGATACGCTAATGTTAGGTATGGACATACATGCTGGCACATTGCGTATGCATAAGCTCTGTGAAAGCACTTTTGCTTTTATGGATTTATTAGAAAGCAAGTGCGTAAATATAATAACACGTGCTAGTATTTGATATGCACAATCACGGTGCCGCTGTTGTAAGCTTTATAACAGCCCTTAAATTTTTAATGGGTTCAGAGCATCAGCACATAAATTCAACGCTTTACACGAGGTAAACTGCGAGCTAGGGTGACGATTTAAATCAGTTGACATTTAACTTTTAAATGTTTTAAACAATTTTAAAGTGAAATTGATTAAACTATTATACTTTTTAAATGATAATTGAGACATTTAACATCCATATAATCATACAATCAAAAAATAATACGTTTGTTTGAATTAATGATCGAGACTAAAAATGAATATTAACAAAAAAATATTTTTCGTAAGTTATCTTGTACAAATTTTTTTTCACAATATTTATGTCTTAAAATTAGATCAATTTAGAAAATTATAGGACCAAGTAGTGCATTATTTAATACAAATTAAACTGAAAAACAAATCCTATAAAAAGCCAATTTAAAAACTAATTTTTGGAAAATCTTATTTAAAAACCTTTAAGAAATCATTTATTTTATAACAATATAATTTTAAAATGTACTTCAGTATAAAATATTATTTAATTTTACAAAAAAATCCTACTTAAAATGACAAAACATCCTACTTAAATTTACAAAACATACAATTTAAAATGGCAAAAAAATCGTATTTAAATTTAAAACAAACTACTTGTATTCAAAAAATCCTATTTAAATTGAGAAAATCCTACTTAAATTCAAGACCTTTTTTTGAATACAGAAAGTCTATTTATATTTAAATTTAAATTATTCTACTTCAATTTTTAAAAACTATTTTAATTAAAAATTTCTATTTAATGAAAAATCTCGTATATGTGAAACCGTCCCGAATTATTAAAAAATATTGAGTGAAAAATGACTTATTATAATAATAATAATAATAATAATTATTATTATCGTTGTTTTAACAGCTGTTTTTATATTTTCTATGACCATTAGTGTACCATTATTATTATTATCATTATATAATTTTCATGTAAGCTAAATTATCGTATTTACGTATTTCGCTGCCAGCGGGTTATGCCCATGCGCAGTTCCAATAAATTTACCTTCTTTGCATCTGCGTTAGGCGCATGCGCTATACTCACGAGGGCGGGCCACGAGACGGCGGGGCGCGCGGTGGCGAAGGGGTCGGGCCGCTCCGCCCACACGAGCGTGCGCTCCACCAGGAACTCCGCGAACAGCCCGTCCTTGTACACGCACAGCCACTCGCGGCGCTGCCACTCCACGTCATCGTACTCCACCAGCACCTGCGCACAGACGGTTTCCACCTCGTACATCCCGCAGAACGCACTCCACCCGATTCCGTTGTTAGGTAATGGACCTACGTTTATTGTCATAACGTTAAAATTTCTAGAAAGTAAGGAGTAGTAGTAGTTTACAGCACGAGTTTAGTTTAACGCACGAGTCGCGAAAGAGAAGAGTGCGGGAATCGCCTGTTTCGCGCCCTTGTTGGATATACGTACTATTTTTTCAACACGCCATGAGCGAAACGCAACGCGCAAAGAAAAAGGAATATAAATTAAACATCAAATAACTAGAAATACTTTATTTGTACAAAAGTAAATGGATTACAGTACCTCTCGTAACACTGTCGTTTGTTATAATGAACAAAAACGTCGAACAGACGAAAGACAATTGCGAATAGTTACAGATGTTTCGCACACGAAAAACAAGCACGAGAAATCGCGTTTCGCGCACGGCGTGTTAAAAAGAAAATTATTTGAAGGTAAAGAAATCACATTTTCGTTAACGTATGTCCTACACTTACAGACAATGATACCGACTTCTTATTTATCATATTTTTCACCTTAAGCAACTTTGCGATTGACACATGTCGAAAGATGCAAGAGATGTTCCGTCAAATGGCTAAGCATCTTAAGTTGAATGCTCGAAAACGTGAAATCATTCATTTCCACCAAATACCAGTATCATACTTATTTTAATAATATATACACGGGAAGGGAAGATTCAGGGAAAAATATCACACATTAAAGAAGTTATAATTTTTATTAGTTGCATTTCTAAATTCGAAAATATAAAAATTAAAAATTGATACACAAAAGCAAAAAATAACTGAAATCGAAATGAGCGTCAAAAATGAACTTCCATTTTGTTCCAAAATCATTCGGCTTGACACAATGCTTGCCAAAACCCAAATGCAAAGCATAAATTAAACCGCACACAAAAGCAAAGGTTCGAAAATCGGCCATATTTTTTCTTCTTTTAATGGATACTGTTCGAATTCCCATTACACAATCCGAGCTCGCGGCCGGGCGCCAATAGACGCAACGCAGGAAGAAGAAGAAGAAAAAAAAAAAAAGTCCAACAACACGCAGACTTGGAGCGCGCGCCTGTAAACATGGCAAGTCTCCGCACGCCGCGACATTCACGCCGTGTTGTTGGCACCGCCGCGCCGGGAGGGGTAATAAAATACCAGGCCACTTCGACCGACAGACCCCGCGCCTCGCCTCGCCTCGCCTCGCCTCGCCTCGCCACGAGCAACCCACACAGCGCTGTGGTCAACAACAAACGACAGGTGAGGACAAGAACCGGAATTCTCAAAGAATTGAGGCGCTAAATGGACAAAATGTGAGTTGTGCTGAGAAAACTGAATTTTAATTAAATATTTTCAAGAAGTAATGCGGAACATTATATAACTTCCCAGCATGGCTTTGCTTTTATGTGTGCCAGAATACCTAGTTATTTTAAATAGCTGCGTGTTTTTGCAATAAATAGCACGCAGCACTCCGAGTGTTTCTCTGAAACATAAAATCTTAAAATACATAAACATTAAAATTCGTTTCAAATTAGGAATCCAAAGTTTTTGGAGTTGTTGATTTCGAATATGAAGTCCGGATAGAAGTATTTTCTTCTTTAAAGTTTCAAACTTAAAAATCAAGAACCCTTTTAAAACGCCTTGGTTTTTAGAATATATTCATCCAAATTTAAAAAAAGATCTGATAACTCGTTTTTACCGAAACTGTCATTTCTTTTATTTCTGACACTACTACTTGTGATATATGATACGAAAACTAATTTACACAAAAAGGCAAAATAGAATAATAAAAATTTGTATACAAAATTCAATTAATTTACTCTTTCAAATAATTATATTTCTGTGAACATCCTTCAGTGAAGAAACTCAAGCCAGAACTTACTGGTTCGGAAAACTTATGTTTGAATTCCATCAGGTGGAAAAAAATCACAAACATTTAACAAAAATATTGACTCCACCATTTTCAATTTTAATCTTTTACTTACTCTAATTTGAAACCAACCCCAACACGCAGTACCAAAATTTCTAACGGGCGTAATTCAATTTACAATCAGCGCCCCCCTACTTCCTCTCAAACCCAGCCCGCAGCACGGGGCGCACGGCGCAGGTCGCAGCCATAGAATTTACTGCGGCGAGCGGCGCGAACACAAGCGCGTTATAATAACAGTAGCGCGTGTCGGCCAACAGCGCGCCCGCCCGCCCGCGTGTTTCCATTAATATAGATTTATGCGGCAGCCGATGCCGCGCGCAAATCTGCCAGAATCCGCGGCGGTCGCCGCTGCCGCACATTCGTTACGCAGCTCGGCGACGCCGCGCGGGGCAGAAAGGGGCAA